TTCATCATTTCTATCTAATATCTTTTTCAATCTTTTTGAAAATTTTATAATCATTTATCATCTTTATTAATATTAAAAAAAACTTTTGATAATTTATATCTATTATCCATCATTATCATTATTTAATTATCTATCTACATTTAGTTTTCTTCATATGAAACTCATCCGTGAATAATCTAAATCTATCTGCTTATTTATCTATATTTTTTCTATTTTCTAAATATATCATTCTAATCGTTTAACATAAATAAATCTGGATCCATATTTATTATCTTTTTTTCAATTTATCATAATCTATTTTCTATTTGGAATACTTTCTATAAAAAATAACATTAAACACAATTTCTCCATGGATTCTATTCAAAAAATCTATCCATTTAAATTTATCAATTCCTAACTTTAATAAACAAATCATATTTATCTATTTGTTTGATATATATCTATCTATCTATTATGTTATCTATCAATCCAATAAAAAAATCTTTCTCGTTCTTTCTATCTATTTATCTATCATCTTCTATGATCATATTTTAAAATCTATCTTTCAAAATTGCTATTTATCTATAAATTTTATTGACTTCCCTATTTATCAATTATTAAAAATAAAAATTCTTTGTTTCTGTATTTATCTATCCATAATAAAAATTTTTTAATCTATTATACATAATTGTCTATCTATCTATATATATATATATATATATATATATCTATATCAGGTCATCCCATAAGTTCTGTCCGAATTTTGAATAAAGAAAACAAGTGACCAAATGTTACATTTAATTACAGATTCAATCAACAATGTATTTTCCCTGATTATCTATGACTTCCTTCCATCTATTAACAAACTTACTAATTCCATTACTGTAAAATTCTTTTGGCTTTGATTCGAAGAACTCACAAATGTCAGTTTTAACCTCTTCCTGTGTTACAAAAATAATGTTTCTTCCAAATGATTCTGTAAGCTACGAAACAAATGGTAGTCTGAAGGAGCATCAAGATCGGGAGAATAAGGTGGATGAGGAATTTTCTCCCAACCAAGTTCTTCGATCTTTTTGACGTGACGTGATTCTTGCTGTGTGGGGTCGCGCATTGTCCTGATGAAACATCACCTCTTTTCGATTCACTAGAGCAGGTCTTTTTTTCCTCAAAGCTTGGTTCAAACGCTCTAATTGCTGACAGTATATTTGAGCATTAATTGTTGCATTAGGTGGTAAGAATTCAAAGTGGATTATTCCTTGGCGATCCCACCAGATTGAAAGAAGAACCTTTTGCCCATGAAGTTCCCTTCTCGGCTGTGGCTGGGGTCCTTCCCTTTACCAAGCCACTGTCTACGACGCTTAACATTTCGATAAAAGATCCATTTTTCGTCGCCAGTCACAAGTCTATCCAAAAAAGGTGAAACAAGTTGGCGAGAATGGAGAGAAGAGCAGATGTCAACTCAGGATTTGAGGTTGTTTTCAGACAATTCATGAGGCACCCATTTTCCAAGGAAAGGAACTTTTCCAAGTTGTTGAAGATGACGATGAACAGTTGTATGGTTTGAACTGAGAACCACTGCCAATTCCTCAACTGATAAAGCAGGATTTTCTTTTCTTCAAGGGCTGCTTCAAAGAAGCTTTTCATCAAACTCAACTGGACGTCCGGTTCGATCTTCATCTTCAAGGGTGAAATCTCCACCTCTGAATTTTGCAAACCATCTTCTGCAAGTTCTTTCATTCACATTTCCTCTCCATAAACTGAGTGAATGTTTCTAGCCGCTTCGGCTGCTGAGTTTCCTTTCTTGAACTCATAAAGCATTATGTGCCTCAAATGAATCTTGGGTACTTTCATGTTAGCAGGGTTTTAAACAAACAAAATTTAATTTTATTGTTCTCTGAAATAAACTTTGATCAGTTTAAATGCATCTAAACCTAAAAATAATGTTCAGCTCCATTAGACATTAAAAAATACTCTTTAAATTTCGTTCATTTTAACAAAAAGTTAAAATTCGGACAGAACTTATGGATGACCTGATATGATATATATATATATATCTATCTATCTATTGAATAAATATTTGAAAATTTTTCCTTATGTATTCTTAATTCATATATAAATATTTGTTAAGTATTAAACTTACGAAGGTGTTTATCAAATTATTATGATAATTACGAAAATTTAAAAAAAAAGAAGACAACTAAACATTTCAGTAAAACATACAAATTTCGTAATTATTTATTGACAAAATTCGGTATCTATTTCTAAATATTTATTTTTAATCATTTTAACATTAAATTAAAAAATGTTTTTCGTTGTATTTTGATTGAAATATAAATTATTATATAAAAATTTATTAAAAATGCGCGGTCATTTTTGATAAATTCTGTTTTTTTTTTAGCCAGCTTTCTAACAAATTTAATTGACTTAATATATTTTACCATGACGAAGTTTTTTTTTTAAAATGGAAACAAAAAGGACCTTTATATCTTGAACCAGGAAGAATCAATTGAAATTCCTTCATTTTTTAAAACAAAATGATTCAAAAATTGAAAATATTTTTAAATTAAACATTTTTTAATTAATAAAGAAAAATTACTTTAATTTGTAAATCAAAATATAACCTTTTAATTTTGAGAAAAACAAACTAAATGGATGGCAAACAGGTTTTTTGAAAATTTAACAAAAAAAAAAAATATTAAGACCTACAGATAGATAAATTTTGATCAATACCCAATGATCGCCAGAGTTTTAATCAGGACACGTTTTTAGATCGCAATATTTAAAAGGAATTGAAAGATGAAGAAAACTTAATTATTTGACTTTAAAAATTTTTCCGGCTTTAAAAGGAAATCGCTTTTTAAAGTTAACTCATACAAATGGATATTTTTTAATCTTACAATTCAAATAAAAAAGGAAAATAAACGAGATAAATATAAAAAATAATATTATAAATATTTATAAATACTTAATAAATATTTTTGAATGTTCAAAATCCAAATGTTCAGTTGATGAATGAATTTTTACAAATAAACTTTTTTTTTTTAAATTTGATTCATTCTTTTTCTTTTCAAAAAACGGTAGCCATTTTTTAATTTCTACTTTAAAAAGTCGAAAGAACCAAAAATTCAAGTCCGATGCTTTTTGATGGAATAACCTGATTTAGCTAATAATTTAAAATTAGTTATAATTTAATATTTATTTTTTAATAATTAATAAATATTGTTTTTTCCTTTTTTAATCTTTTCTTTGTAAATCAGAATGGACTGAACTCTCTACTACTTCAGGACAGTTCTTATATAGAGTTCTTTAGAGATTAAAAAAATTTTTTTTCCGTCTCTTTTTATTACTTTTATATTTTTTGATTGTTATTGACAAACCTTAAATAAGTTAAATTGATATTCAGATAATCTCATCTGTTGTAAATATATCTTCAGATATACCAGTATTTTTTATTTCAAGTGCTATTTCATTTAAACAATAAATTTCAATACAATATCAAAAAACACTCAATATCTCAATGTATTAATTAGTATGAAATTATTTCGTAATAATTTAGTGATTAGTAATAATTTAGATAACCTGATTTTTTTATAAGCATTTTCATGAAATAAGGCATTCCGATTTTCAACTAGCAACGCAATATTTATGGATGATATTGGATTTTTTTTTTCTTTTAAAACAATGAATCCGAATACCTGATAAAAATACAATTTATGGGTTTTTTTTATTGTGGAAACAATTGTATTTGTACTAAGTCGGTCCTAAAAATAGGTTCGACGTACAAAAATTTTTAATAAAATGATATAATTTTAATGACGCAGAAATAATCTAAATGCGGTCGCTGATACTTTAGTATCCGACTAACGGTCGTCCGGCATCGACTGAATGACCGAAAATATTCAGTCACCCCCATTTAAACCATTGTTGCACAAGCCTTTTTAACGTGGGATCTCCGAGCCCGTGGGCTCAAAAAAAATATATGATGAAAATAAAAATATAAATCGGGTTCATTTTATATTGGTTTACCTCCCGAAAGAAATCCGCCCTTCGGCCTAGCCTCGTTCATGGTTCCTTTGAAATTTTAAAAGGCAAAACGTTCAACCGATCAGCCAGTCGACTGACTCCCTACCCTCGAACGAATTTATACTACTTACTACTTATTATAGGTGGGAGAATTTATTAACTATAGAATAGGCGTGTTCCAATATAACAATAAAACAAAGAGTATGAGTAAAGAGGTTTTTTTAATTAAAGGATATAGTTTAAAAAAGGATCAAAATCAAATTCAGAAGATGTCGATTGACATTACATTTAAATATTTGAAGATTAAATAACTATCAGGGAAGAAAAAAAGAGGAAGGGAGTTCCACTGTCGGGAAGTGCAGCGAAGAAGCTGTTGGACAAAATGAAAATAAATTTGATTTTAACCTTTTGACAATGAAATGGTGAGACCAAGATGCAAAATAAAATAGCATGGTTAAAAACAGATATATTTTTAAATGATAACCTGATAGAACGTATGAAGATAAACATTTCATAATGTCAGAGCTTGTAAAAGTAGAACAAATACTGTAAGACCTGTACATTTTTTTTGAATTGAATTTGAAAAGAAAAATAATCAAAAAATTGAAATTAAATTCAAAACCATCCGTTCAATATCTGTTTATATCTCTGTTATGGTCCGGTTCCTTGTACCACGGTGATAGTCCAAGGTAGAACCAATAAAGAAGAACTCGAACACAGGTATGGAATAACACAGATATGTTACAAACAGAAATATATACAAAGAAGTAGAAAGTGTTAGTACAAACAATCAGGTTTAGTAGTAATTGTCTGAACGCGACTCTGTTTCGGACTGCCTCTGACTCGACTGAACGACTCTCTCTGACTGATTGACTCTCTCTGACTGATTGACAGACTTCTGACGGTCCTCACTCCAGACTTCAGACTGAACAGTATTTAGTCACCCCCCCCCCAGGGTATCATGTGGCACAAGGCCGGTTTAACATGGGATCTCCGAGCCTCGTGTGGGCTCGGCCCAAAATATGCCCTTTTTGAACCCGTATAAACGGGTTCAGGGTCGGTTTACCTCCCCGAAAAGAACTCCGCCCTTCGGCGTAGCCTCGTTCGGGTTCCTCCCCCCGAAGGCAGAGAGTTCAACCGATCAGCCGGTCAGTCCGACTTCAGACTGAACTCCTTAAATTCCTCTTGAGGCGCAATATTTATTACGTATGGAATAATCCATTATGTTATTATGGGTAAGGTCCCATAACAATCTCTGAGATGAAGTATTATGATTATTTACATTATTTACATTATTCGGACTGTTATCCTCATCTTCATTGCCATATTCACAACGTTTCGATCGTTGTACGCTCCAGTCTTCTTCAGGTGATTGGAATTTTGAACCGAACCCTTTATTTCGTTCACCGGGGTAGAGTATTCTAGTTTTACGAGACATCCGGAAGTGGCATCGAAAATCCACAGTTCGAAGCATTCACTTTTTTTTTTAAACACTTATCGACCCCTTAATTTTTTTATATAGACAATCTTTGTTCTGTGAAATCCTTATTTCGTCAAAGTCAATGTAAACATATCTATATATAAAATTCTGTGACTTCTGGCAGTCCGTCTGTCTGCCCGTCACACTTTATAAAATAGCCATACATTGGCCGATCGAAAGTAGAGCAAAATATTATTATTATATTTTTAATATAAGAGTTTATAACAAAAACATTTTATACATCGCTACTCAAAAGCTTTCATGTTTCAATACTATGATTGTATTTTGTCAGGTGATGATTGGTAACTGGTTATAAAATGATTTCTTAGGGAAATTTAAAAAATAAATCGTTACGTCTTTTCCTAATGTTAAAGTGAAGGGTAATATCAGAAATTAAAAATAGACTTCTGGGTATGTCTGGGGTAACTAATTAAATGTCAGATCTACGCTAAATAGAAAAATAAGGTCAGTGGGTAGAGGTGAGGAAGTTATTATTTATTTATGTCGCGATAAACCGACATAGAGACGATTATGGAGAATATGACAGCGACACATGTATCGTGATTATAGCCAGATGTTACACGATCTATTTGTTTAAGGGAGTTGGTAGGTTAGTCGTCGGGGTAGATTGTTCTAGTTTCGCGAGACATCCGGAAGAGACATGGCACCTGGAACTAGAACAATCTACCCCGGTGGGCGGAATAAATTGTTCGGTTCGAAATTCCAGTCCCCCGAAGAAAGCCAGAGCGTACAACGGCCGAAACGTTGTGAATATGGCAAGGAAGATGAGGATAACAGTCCGAATAATGTAAATAATGCAAATAGTATCCGTTCAGTTAAGTATTTTATTGATTTATTTGAATGCATTTCTTAAGATATGTAGATGACTCACTGTTTATTATGGCAGACACAGAAGGGAAACTGCAGGAACTCCTACAATATTGCAGTAAAGGAAAGTGATATTGTGAAAAAACCTTGGCGTACATTAACAGATCTTTTCAACTAAGTTAACAACGTTGAACCACAAAAAGATTTCACTTTTGAAACTGAAACCAACTCCACTCTTCCCTTATATTACATAGAAATAATGAACTCAATTTTGACGTTTACAGAAAGCCTACAAACAAAAATGACCTGATCAGTTTCTACTCAAACCACTCTTCTAAAATTAAATCTGGAATTATTATAGGTTTCTATCTGAGAGCATTAAGAATCAGCAGCCCCTGATATTTACCTAAAGAAGAAACATACATAGAAAACGCATTCAAAAACCTACAATAGCCATATCATTTCATTCACAACGCAAGAAGAAACGCATACAAAATATACAACCGAAATAAAAAAAGTAACATAATCCGTAATAATAATTTACATGAAATCAGATGCACAATATTAATGACCAACTCTGTCACGTCCAATGTCCAGAACAACCTATCCCATCTAAATAATCTTAAAAAAGTCACAAACACTTCCAAAACCATTTTGGATATAATCAGATCTTCAAACACTAATAGCAATAATATTTCTGAAGTAGGCATTTATAAAATAATTTGCCAAAACTATTCCTTCCAATATATTGGAGAAACAAGTAGAAATAAAAAAAAAACGCATTTATGAACACAAAAGAGACCTCACAAAATAACAACTTAACTAATGAACTAGTCATACATAGAAATAAATTCAATCATATTTAAAAAATGCTATACTGAAAAAAATATATATATATATATATATATATATATATATATATATATATATATATATATATATAGTTTATTTTACGATGTTACATAAAGAAAAACATGTCAAAAAACAAAATTGCAGTCATGTTCTGATTCGTATAAACAGATCTCATCAGGCGATTGTAAATTACTGGCGAGAGAAGGATTCATTCAGATTTAAAAGCAAAATACAGGTTTACATTCTCTCATCTTACCTGCATATATATATATATATATATATATATATATATATATATATATATATATATATATATATATATCAAAAGACCCTGATTAAACGTGGGACGCAGGTTGAAATCCTGCTAGAGGACTTCTGAGGATTCGAACCAGCGTCCCACGTTTAACAGAAAATTTTTTTTTCCACATATATATATATATATATATATATATATATATATATATATATATATATATATATATATATATATATATATATATATATATATATATATATTAATTTTGAGACATAGTACAAACATATGTTTACGAACACAAGCATTTCTCATTCTCATATGACTAATTCAATATCCATAAGTCCTCATCAAAATATATTTTTTAACCAATTAATTACGGCTAATTACATCACCCTTTGTCGGAAGGTTAGAAATCTCCTGCCAAACGCAATCCTTAAATATCTTGAAAAGTATTTACACAGAGCACCGCACACGTATAGACCATCTTAGACAAACACATGCACATATACATTTTTTTTTCATCCACATTACCACAATATATATATATATATATATATATATATATATATATATATATATATATATATATATATATATATGTGTGTGTGTGTGTGTGTTTTACGTTATTTTCGTTTTTTTTTATAACAGCTGCAAATATGTTTGCAATGCTCGCAAAACTTGGCCAAGAACCAGATCAATATCTGTCTATATTTCTGAGATGGGTATTGCAACTATTTTTCTATTTACACCGTTAGGACTGTTGTCCTCATCTTTCTTGACAGATTCACGATGTTTCGGCCGGTTTACACTCCGTCCTTCTATCACTATCTGCCTACGTTTCGGATATGAGGTATTTTAACTATTTACACTATTGACAGTGTTTGGACCGTTGTCCTCCTCTTTGTTGTCATATTCATGACGTTTCGGCCGTTGTACGCCTCGGTCTTCTTCAGGATGTGTCCATATTTCTGATATGACGTATTGTAACTATTTACACTATTTACATCGTTCGGACTGTTGTCCCCATCTTGTTGTCATATTCTCGACGTTTCGGTTGTTGCATGCGCCGACCATTTTCAGATATGCCTATATTTCTACGATGAGACATTGTAATTTTTTTGCCATGTCTATTTCGGATGTCTCAGTTATCTCCCTTTAGTTCAACTTGGAGGAGAGTTGTCAGGAGCGTTGAGTTAAAGGGAGATAACTGAGGCATTCGGAAGAGGCATGGCACTTGGAATTAGAACAGTCTACACTGGTGGGCGAAATAAAGGGTTCATTTCAAAATTTCAATCACCTGAAGAAGGCCGGAGTGACGGCCGAGACGTCGTGAATATGGCAACAAAGATGAGGACAACAGTCCGAACAATGTAAATGGTTTGATTAAGAACCAGCCGTTTTGGAATTGTTTCCGTGTTTCGCTTTCAAGAATTTCACTCTCCTTATGGAAGCTAATTCCCTCCCCCAACCCAGAACGTAGGCGATCATGGCTCTCCACAATTTCCTGCTATTTCCTCTTAATGAATGTTGTCTTTTGGTTATCTCTCCTAAACTTTGCCATCAAGCATATTCTTTTTTTTTCTATGAGCCGTGTTCCTTTAGGACGTTAGAGATCATGGCCCTCCACAATTTCCTGCTCTTCGTAGCTCTTAATAAATTTTGTATTTTTCTGGTTTCTCTTAAACCTTGTTCCGTCATCCATTGACTCAAGCTCATTCTTCTTTTATGTGCCGTGCCCGTTAAGCACGTAGGCGATCACGGCTCTCCACAATTTCATTGTTTTTTTTATAGCTCTTAATAAATTTTATCTTTTTCTTATTTTTCCTAAACCCTGATCCACCATACATTTACTCAAATTCATTCTTCTATGTGCCGTGTGTTCCTTCAGAAAGTATGCGATCATGGCTCTTCACGACTTCTTGTCCTTTGTAACTGTTACATTAATTTACCCACGCACGCATAAATAGAAGGTAAATGCCTTTTGGAGGGCGAGGTTTCCAGCAGTCAGCTCTGACAGTTGGACCGAACATTCTTGCTGTAACACTCTTGTTTGTATATGTTTGTATTACTGTTTCTGTTAATATATTTGTTTAACTCAATTCCTCTCTTGTGTTTTTATTTCTGGCCCTTTACAAGGCCACAACATCTATCTATCTATCTATCTATCTATCTATCTATCTATCTATCTATCGTTATGGACTTTCCCAGCTATAAATAGGAGCAGGTACTGCCTTTTTGAGAGAGGGAAGTTTCCAGCAGTCACCTCTGACAGTCAGACTGAGCATTCTTGCTGTAACACTCGTGTTTCGTATATGTTTGTATTACTGTTTCTGTTAATATATTTTTTTTAACTCAATTCTTCTCTTTATGTCTTTATTTCTGGCCCTAACAAAGTCACACCAACTTGGAGACGAGGACCCTTCAGGACCCCAAAAGGACTACGTGGAAATTGTCAATATTGGTTCTACTCAACAGTACTTGGCAATCCAGAAAAGGAAACCGAACGAAAAAAAAGTGTTACTAACTTCCACTGAACTCATCTCTCTCAGAGAAAACAAAGCACTTATGATTCCTTGAGTGAGTAAGAAATTAAAGTTATTTCGTTTTTTTTTCTCCTCAATTAAATTCTATTTCGGTTTAATCCTAAAAAAAGACAGTCAAACATGGACGATTTCAAATCCGCCATGGTCGATCTTAAATTCCAGCTTGAACAGCAAAAAAGAATGGAACAACTTCAGTTGGATATACAAAAAGAAAGGCTTGAAAATCAAAAGCAATCTCAGAAGGAAAGGCTTGAACTTGAAAAGAGAATTGAAGAAGAAAGTCTCGCATTACAAATGCGTGAAAAAAATTCTACTTCAAATTCAAGAGCAAAGAAACTTGCTTGAACTGACAAACAGGAAGCAAATTAGTGAAAGCGAAAATTCGTTCTCACAAAACACAATCTGGGGGTGCAATAGACAATTTTGCATATTCTACGGACGAGGAAATAACTTTCGCTTCCTATTTTAGAAGATTCGAGGATTTATACGCCACAGATTGCACGAATTGAGCAGACTCTAAAAAGGTCCGCCTAATACTTCGAAAACTAGGCACCATGGAGCACACCAAATTTGTGAACTATATTTTACCCCGTAAAACAAGCGAAACGGTTAAACTTCTTAGAGAACTTTCTAGTCCAAAAACTTCAGGTTTTTAAAAAAGATGGAAGTGCATGAATTTAACCAGAAAGGATAGTGAAGATTACACTACATTCGTGTCAGTCGTTAACAAGCATTGCGACGATTCTAAACTGTCAGAATTGAGTTCGAATAATTTCAAGAGTTTGTTCCGGGACTCTTTTCATCTAAAGACGCTGAAATTAGACGTAGAGTTCTGAACAAATTGGAAAACAAGACAAAACTTACTCTCCAACAAATAGCGGAAGACTGTCAGAGATCCGTAAGCATACACCAAGATTCGAAAAATATCGAGGAATCTGGCATAGCACACATAAGAAAGTTACACCAAAAGAAAAAAAATCAATTTAATTCTCCCTCTAAATCAAACCAGTTCAAAAAGAAAAAAGACAACTTGCCTCTTAACCCGTGTTCCAGTTGTGGGTGACTACACTGGTATAAGGATTGCCCTAAAAAAGAGCTTAGCATGATGAAAAAGAAGCCAAACTTGACGAAAACAAAATTTTATCGTCTAAATGTTTAAGTTATTATTAAGAGGAAAGATCAGATTTTTGCGGTATTTTTTTTTACATTTTTAATCGTTCCTAGAACGTCCGAAATGTTCGTTAAAAACCTTGTTTTTGTTGAGTCAGTAAAATTGACAGATAATCAATCATGTCAACCATTTTTTTCTATTTTATAAAAAAAAAAATGAAAATCTCAGTTTGAAATTCTTTTAAAAATCAACTATAATTTTTTCAAAACTTATTTTAAGAAAATCAGAAATTATAATGTTTATTTAAAATATTTTGAAATAATCATTATTTAGTTTTTCTGAAAAATCAAATTAACTTCTCCACACGTGTTTCGCAAGAGTAAAGACCTTAACAGCGGAGAACAATGCTTAATTGTATTCTGGTTGGTTTTCCGTACTTTATAATTATAGTCCGATTATAAACACAAAATTGCATTTCTTAATTACTGTGGATCTTCTGATTAGTCAAAATGATACAATTTACAATACGCTAAAAAAGATCTATCTCATAAGGACATTTACGAAACTGAATGCGGCTTTTAACTAATTTTATAATATTTTAACAACTTAAATGTAAAATCTATTATAATTAAAGAAATAACAAATAATTGTATTAAAAATTCATTTTTCATCGAAAAAAATTTTTTGCTTTCAGAAAATATTGTCCATATTCATAAAAACAACTGAAAGCAAATAAAAGCATTTGAAATTAAATAATATCTTTATATTATTGAGTTTTGTATGTTACAATTCAGAGCTGATTTTCAGGTAGGGGGTGGGGGTCCAATTAAAAACAAAAAAACTGATTTGCTTTCCTCAAAGCCTTGTGCTTTTAAGTATTGTAATCACTAAAGTGAATGCGACCGAATTTCTAGAGTTTTCATAAAGATAGTTAGGGTAATAAAAATAAAAAAAAATTTTTTCCATCATCTGTGAATAGTTTCTGAAAGTTTCGTTAATATCCGATAATTATCTTTATTTTTGCAAGATTTTCCAAATTAATGTCTGTCATACAAAAAAAAAAAAAAAAAAAAAAATGAGTTATCTCCCCTTTCAAAGTTCTCCACTGCCTTAACGGGCTATTGAACTCACACTCTTTGGTTCCTGTCACTGATTCTAACCAACGCCTTTATCCACTGTGTAACAGACATCCCTTAAACCTGGCACATGGAACTAGAACAGTCTCCACCAGTGAGCGAAATAAAGGGTTCAGTTCTACCTGAAGAAGGCCGGAGCGTACAACGGCCGAAACGTTGTAATGAATATGGCGACAAAGAGGAGGACAATAGTCCGAATAATGTAAATAGTGTACATAATACCTCAACTCAGAAATATAGACAGATACTGAAGGGCTGAAACGTTTTAATAAATATGACAACAAAGATGAGGACAATAGTCCGAATAATGTAAATAGTGTACATAATACCTCAACTCAGAAATATAAACAGATACTGAAGGGCTGAAACGTTTTAATAAATATGACAACAAAGATGAGGACAATAGTCCGAATAATGTAAATAGTGTACATAACACCTCATCTCAGAAACAGAGACAGATACTGATATTTTATTTTTATTTTTTTCACATGTGTATTAATCACTTTTTAATACTATTGTTTCTTGGTTAAATTCAACTCAGACAATTAACACTATATATGAGTTACATAAAAATGGAACTCAACTCTACGCCATTTTGATGGACATATCGCCCCTGGTATAATCTCCATGGGCTCTGTTAATGCTAAAACGTTTGTTGAAAAAAATAATTTTAATGTTTCTTTTTTTAAATGTTAACTTTTTTTAAAAATTTGCACACACACACACAAAAAAAAAAAGAATTAAAAAGGAAGGAAAGCAAGAAGAAAAAGTGATCAAGGAAGAGGAACAGAGAACAAATAAAGGAAAAAGAGAGATAGAGAGAAGAAGGAAAATTGACACTAAGGTAGTGAGAGTGAGGGGAACGGAAGTCAACATATACAAGACTAGACAGAAGTCAAGAACATTTAAAGATTAACAATGACCTATATTTAAAATATTAATTCTTGTTCAAATAGGAAAAAATGCAATCATTAAAGTTAAGAAAAAGAAGAGATTTTAAGATAATGGAAAATTTTAAGATAATGGAAAATTTAGAATTTAATATTATATAAAAAAATTTATTATTATTAATTTATATACTAATAACACATATTAAATTATATATTTATATTAAATTATTATTAGGAAAATTCATTATTAAGAAAGATTTATTAACTTATTAAATTATTAATATTAATTTATTTACTTATTACATATTTAATAATTTAGTCAAATATTATTGGTATAAAATGACAATTGGAAAAAATCTTAGATTTTGCCGACGCGTTTCGTCTTCCGACTTTTTCAAGGCAAAAATGAAATCGAAATGTCTTTGTTGTTATAGTTACATAAAAAATCCAAATTTAAAAGATAGACGCTTCTGTCTAAGCCCTTTTCTGGTTAATGTAAATTTCCTTTATACTAAGAGATTTTTTTCCATGTCGATAATACAGATAAATTCCCAGATTAATTCTGTGGACAAGACAAAGTGGTATAAATTTGTTTACTTATTAAATCAGTATTAATCTATTTGCATATTATATATTTTATTATTTAGTATAAAATTTTGATTATTAAATTATGGCCATCAAAATGAGCTACAATTGAGTTTTATTTTTATATAATTAATTTATGTGCCTTATATACTGAGCTCGCTTTTGTGGTCAGTTTTAATATTTTATATTATGAGGAATTACTTGTATTACTTACCCACGGATTTTTTATCTATATATATATATATATATATATATATATATATATATATATGTTTGTGTATATAGTCCAGATGATTTCATTTAGTTTTCTTTTTCCTTATATTTGTATCACTTTTGATATATAATATCCCACTTTGGAAAAATAGATCTACCAAGAAAGGTGGAAGATTCTAAAACGCAAATTTGTTGAAGCGTAATCTACTAATTGGTTACAAATTCTACTCAAACAATAAAAAGACTTAATTAATGAAAACAATAAAATAATAAGTTAAAACTTGCAGGAGGAATTTACTCTATTACCTGTAATAATTGCCCCAAGGAATACATAGATGAAACCTTTAGGATTTGGTTTGGTTTGTTTTACGGCATATCAACCTCAATGGGTTATTTAATGCCGACAAGAGTTTTATTGCTGGTGACATATTTATTTGGCAAAAATATATTGTTGTTAATATTTTTTTCAAAAATGTATTGCTGGTAATATTTTTTTTTTTATAAAATGCATTGCTGGTAAAAAAAAATTTCACAAAAAAGTATTTCTGGTATTAAAACCTGTTTTTATACTTTTATACTGTCTTCAACCTTTTTGGTTGAGGGGGTTAACTCATAGCTAGGACCCTGACAGGTGCTACCACCCTGGGTCAGAGTGGACCTGGAGACACCAGCAATTAGGAGTTGGTTCTACGCTCTGATTCTGATCATGCTACCAGATGTAGTTTAACGTCTTACC